ATTTTTTAGGATCCAATCCAATCGAAATCAAATTTACGCCCTACTTGCTTAACTTAATATTCAAACTTCAATTAAATTAGATTTCAACTTGAATTTCTATCCATGTTATGTACCTCAAAAATCAAACCTGAATTGAAGTCGATTGATTCAAATTTCACCACTACTTGCATATCATCTAATTTCAAAAATTAACCATGATTGACATTGAAAATTTCAAATAAAGCTTAGCTTGAGAGTTTTAAAAATTTTGATTTAACTCGAGTTTTTTTCGACTTGCCTTACTACCACTATACTAGCTAGGTTGTGACATGTATTGATATTTAAATTAAATAAATTTTTGGTTTTACTATTTTTATGAATTAAGGATGTTTCAGAATTTTGTTAACAAACTTAATTAAGATGTAGTTTAGTCTAGAAATAACAAGAGCATTTTGTTTTTTATTTTTGTAGGTTAGGAGGTGATGTAGTATAATTTGAAATTTGCCAAACAATATAAAATAAGCCACTTGACAACACCGATGTAGTGACATAAATTTTGATATTTTTAGTGACAATNAAGTTAGGAGGTGATGTGGTATAATTTGAAATTTGTCAAACAATATAAAATAAGCCACTTGACAACACCGATGTAGTGACATAAATTTTTATATTTTTAGTGACATAATTAATTTAGTTACTCAAAACAAAAAAATTTAGTGACGACTTGACAATCATCACTAAAAGTATAAAATTTTTAATAATAACACCAATGTTGTCACTAAAACTATGAAAATTCTAGTGATGACATAAAAGTCACCACTAAAACCATTAGTGTTTTAGTGACGACATTAAAGTTATCACCAAACCTTGAAACTTTCAGGGGCAACTAATCTCATTACTAAAAGTAATTGATTATCATTTTGAGTGACAACAATAAAATTCATTACTATTTATTCAATTTTTCAAATTTTTAGTGACGAAATTACAAAGACAAATAATAATTCATCACTAAACGTTAACTTTTTGTAACAAATAGTGTTGTCGTCACTCATCCTAGATCATTAATAACAATTTCACATGTCTTCACTAAAAAAGTATCATTAATGACAAAAATAACTTGGTCGCTAAAAAATTTGTCACTAAAGCCCATCATTGTTGTAGTGATCAACCTCATCTGCTTAACTCAACCAAGGCTAATGGTTTTATTTGGATAACTCGAGCTCTGTGTAATCTTAAGCCGGGAATACCTTATCTGTTTAGCCTTAAATTGATTAAATCTCATTGGCCATTCTGGGTTAATCCATGATTTATGGTCATATTGGTCAATTCAACGGCGATAACTCGGATAATTCAGGATTCACTCGAAGAATTTTTGAAAGACTCGGTAAATTATTGCGAGAGTTGTGTTTGACACTGAACGTGAAATGGGATTACATCGGAAGATAAATCGGTATCGATCGATACTTTGAACCCTAAAAATAGAACCCCAACCATGACATATATCATCTGATTGCCCGAAAAAACTAACTCAAAAATTAGTAAATTCGTGGCCATTAAGATCAATCTTGATGTAAACATATGCATTAATTTTGTAAGCTAAAAATAGCAGAGAGAATTAACTGGCTGAAAAACATCCATTTTTTCCTCATTAAAGATAAAATTTCCACCTTAAAACGGTTATTTTCTGTTACTATGATTAGCAATTTTGACCAAGTCAAATGGAACACCTGGCATTTTGAAGGAAAATGATAAAAAAAACAATTGTGGAAATTCTTCTTAGTTTCCTGAGAGACCAGACGAGTGGATTTTTCCTGGACAAAGATTCCCAATATTCATCTGAATTTCAACCTTGAAATTGTGTCCTTGAACAGGGTTTTTGTTTGTTTGTCCACTGGTTTGGTGATTTTTTGAATCTGGGTATGATTGGGAAGTAGGAGAGAGAAAGGAAAATGGGCTGCTTTTCATGTTGCCAGTCAGAAGAAAAGATCCTGAGAAAGTCATTGAAAAAAAGCATTCAGGAATACAAAGACACCAAAACATTAGCTTCTTTTGCTAACATTTCATTCAAAACTGGTATCTTTAATTTCCTTTTTTGTAATTTGGATGATTGTCATATTCAAATCTGTTCATCTTATAGGCATAATTCCATGTCCTTTTGCCCCATCAGTCCCTTATCTTGTTCAACAGATGCATTAGCCTTTTGCACATAATTATGGTTAATTTTAATAACTGAAACTTTTCCTTCCAATTCATCTTCATTGGGGCGATTTTCAATCTTATGCTGGGCTTTGAACCTCTTGAATACCGAATATTTGTTGAACTTGAATTTTTTTTCATTTTTTGGGTTTGAGATTGAGGAAAGAAAAACTTATTGACAGCAGTTTTCTTGCCAAAATCCAATTTTTGAGCACAATGTAGATAATAACTCCTGGTCCTATACATGGATTTTTCCACAGAATTGCACCATACTCAAACATTTTAGAATCTTGTCATTTCTTATATTGGATTCGTAATATCGAACCCTATCTATTTTGCATGATCGCACATGGGCTCATAGGAATCTTACTCATAGAAAGCAAGAGGGCCAGGAAGGAGGGAGCGGGAACCAGAAAGATTCCTACGACGATTCCAAGCCCCCCCTATCCCTACAAAGCGAAATAGATCTTTATTTCCTTTCTTTACTGTATAAGAGTTGCAGTAGTGACTTCTTTCTTCAGTTTGCTCTTCTCCAACGATTGAATCTCTTTATCCAGCTCTTTGACCCGATCTCTCTTTGTTCAGTTGTTCCTTTGATATTATGATGGTGGAGAATATGGTTTTGGCAACCACAATACTTTTGATTACCTGATCCAAATTTGACTGTAATTCAATGTGCAGATAGCAGCAGGAGGAGGTACATAGCCGAAGAGATCGAAAAAATCGGAAAAGGAAATATTTCTGCTCAGATATTTTCATTCCGTGAACTGTGTGTTGCAACTCAAAACTTCAACCCTGAATCATTGCTTGGTGAAGGTGGTTTTGGGAGGGTTTACAAAGGACACCTTCAAAGCAAAAACATAGTAATGTTGCAAATCATTTTTCTCTTACATATCATTTTGTTTCTAGTTCATATTTTTATTTCAATCTCTTATTCTATATAAATGTTTGTCATAAAGGATGTTGCTGTTAAGCAACTTGATAGAAATGGATTTCAAGGAAACAGAGAATTTCTTGTGGAGGTACTGATGCTGTCTCTTCTTCACCATTCTAACCTTGTCAATTTGGTCGGATACTGCGCCGATGGTGAGCAGAGGATATTAGTCTATGAGTACATGTCCAATGGTTCACTAGAAGATCACCTTCTTGGTATGTCTACACTGTTTTTCTCTCGCATTCGTATCAGACTCGGCGATTCTTTGAACAATGTTGTGAACCCCTTTCAATTTTTTCCTTTTTCAATATGGGTCCGTTTGATTAGCAAGAAAAAGGTGATGAAAAATAAAAGAGGTAGAAAGTGAAGTAAAAGAAAAGAAAGTGAAAGAAAACATATTTTCATGCATGTATTTGGTTAGCGTAAAAAATTTCTAAGAAAATTTTAAAATAATTTCATTCCATTATTTAAAAAAACAAAGAAAGTTATAAGAAAAATTTTCTAATTGTCTAAATTATCTTCAAGTATTTTAACACTGTCTGAAGAAGAAAAACATATTTTTTATTATTCAAATTTTTAAAAAATTGACTACTAACCTAAGTTAGAAACAAAGAACGACTTGAACCTTAATCTCTACACCAAATTATATGATTAGCCTAATTTATACATATTTTTTTAAAATTAATAACTAATTGAATATTTTAAGAAAAATAAGAGTAAAATGGGAAGTTAAGTTATTGAATACAACTTTCTTACTTTTTTTTTGTGTTTTTTGTAAGAAAAAAAGTTAGTTAGATGTGAGAAAATCTAAACATGAGAGAAAATTATTTTTTCTATCATTTTCTATTTCATGCTAAACAAACGCATGTAAAATTTTAAAATTTTCTCTTTCTTATATTTTCTAGCATTTTCTTGCTACACAAACAGACCCTGCGAGGACTCTTATCAGATATCTATACTGATCAGTGAAACTCTGATTTTCAGAGATAGGTTCACANGAATGAAAAACTTCTAAGAAAATTTTAAAATAATTTCATTCCATTATTTATAAAAAAAAGAAAGTTATAAGAAAAATTTTTTAATTGTCTAAATTATCTTTAAGTATTTTAACTCTGTCTGAAGAAGAAAAATATATTTTTTATTATTCAAATTTTAAAAAAATTGACTACTAACCTAAGTTAAAAACAAAGAACGACTCGAACCTTAATCTCTACACCAAATTATATGATTAGCTTAATTTGTACATATTTTTTTAAAATTAATAACTAATTGAATATTTTAAGAAAAATAAGAGTAAAATGGGAAGTTAAGTTATTGAATACAACTTTCTTACTTTTTTTTTGTGTTTTTTGTAAGAAAAAAAGTTAGTTAGATGTGAGAAAATCTAAACATGAGAGAAAATTATTTTTTCTATCATTTTCTATTTCATGCTAAACAAACGCATGTAAAATTTTAAAATTTTCTCTTTCTTATATTTTCTTGCTAAACAAACAGACCCTACGAGGACTCTTATCAGATATCTATACTGATCAGTGAAACTCTGATTTTCAGAGATAGGTTCACAGAGAAAGCCTCTAGATTGGAATACTAGGATGAAAATTGCTGAAGGGGCTGCCAGAGGACTAGAGTACTTGCATGAAACAGCTAACCCTCCAGTGATTTATCGCGATTTCAAAGCATCTAACATACTATTAGATGAAAGATTTAACCCAAAGCTTTCTGATTTCGGACTTGCCAAGCTAGGTCCAACTGGTGATAAGAGCCATGTGTCTACCAGGGTGATGGGAACCTACGGCTACTGTGCACCCGAGTATGCATTGACAGGCCAGTTAACTACAAAGTCCGATGTTTACAGCTTTGGTGTAGTGTTTTTGGAGATAATCACGGGAAGGAGAGTTATCGATAACTCAAGACCTAGTGAAGAGCAGAACCTTGTTACTTGGGTATGTCTTATTCTGCATTGTTATACATGATTTCTGAAGTTTCTATTTACCAGGATTTTAAACTTTCAACCAATAAAAAGCTAAATCTTCTTCAACAGTTATGAACCACTTTGAAACTACTTACATTCAGAGCTTAATCATTCTATGGAAGTTTTTCTGGTATATTGTTAGAGGTTGGCTTGCAAATTCACAATGTTACAAATATGCAGGCACAACCTTTGTTCAAGGACAAAAGGATGTTTCATTTAATGGCAGACCCATTGCTTGAAGGGAACTACCCCATAAAGGGTCTCTACCAAGCTCTTGCGATAGCAGCAATGTGTCTTCAGGAGGAAGCCAGTGTCCGGCCTTTGATCAGCGATGTGGTAACTGCTCTCGAGTACTTATCTGTAAATAAGATCGATGAGGCAGAAGCAGAGGAATCAGTGTAATCATAAAGAAATACTGCTGAGAATATTGAAAACAATGCACCAGATAGTGGTTGGAGCAGAGACTGAGAAAACAGCTTCTTCTCGCATTTTCTTTATGGTTTGATCAGAATTTTGTACATCCTTGTGGACTTGGTGCTAATATTTTAAAATATATTTTAAAAATATAAATAGTGGAAGAGTTTTCAAACGATTGATCAGCTCTGCATCATTAGCTGTGTTTCAACATTTCAGACACACAGTCTGCCTAGTACTTGTTGAAATTTAAAGAAGGGCAAATATTGTCATATGTCAAAATGAATTTGTATTAAAGCCAAAAAAAAAAAAAAAAACTATATTCAATTCCAAATTCCAATCACTTATTCGAAACAGAGTTTGATGATGGACTCATCAATTTGCGACGACTGTTCCCCGATTAGTTCACTATATGTGTAGTTACAAGATGTATCATCCTAACCACCAGACATGAACGATAAACATAGAATACAAATCCCGAGAGGCAGGCATTACTTCCCCAGCTGCTGCAAATCAATTTCCCAGGCTGACGCCAACTGCAGTAAGAGTTGGTCCAGCGTTGCACCTTCCCATTCCTCAGGTAGGTCAATTGTTGAAGAAGCTTCATGTAAATTTAGCAGCAGCTCCCGTTTTACTTCCATAGGAATGCCTAAGACATCGGATCCATTTTCCATGGCAATATCTACCAACTGGAGATCAGGCAGCAAAGAAGTAAGCACAACTTCAAGAACACTCGAGTAAAACATTAATCATCAATCCAAAAGAAAAAAAAAATTGTGACATTGCAGCATCACTACAAGTGAGAACTGGAGTATAGAAAGCATCATAGTTTAGAAAATCAACAAATTATGATGATAGAAGAAAAGTGGGTCTTTCAATCAATGACAGGGTAACATTCTTGTTAGCCAAAATGGTACAATACCTAATCATGTAAGGTCATATCATNGAATAGAAAGCATCATAGTTTAGAAAATCAACAAATTATGATGATAGAAGAAAAGTGGGTCTTTCAATCAATGACAGAGTAACATTCTTGTTAGCCAAAATGGTACAATACCTAATCATGTAAGGTCATATCATGATTTTGAAAGTAGGGAGTTCACATGTGATTCATATATTTACCTGGCTGTGGTGTTACCAATTTTTTCGTAACAATATTGTTACCACATCGGTGTCTAGAATGGTTATCCTAGAAGTTAAAAATTCAATTGAGGGAATCCCTAATCCTTTCTTTATCTTCTATATTGATAAACCAAACGCAAATCATATATTTTGCAACAGCAGTTGGTAGTTACTTCTCTCTTTGCTGTTTTTAAGGTCAACTCTGGTTCAACTCTNTTTCTTTATCTTCTATATTGATAAACCAAACGCAAATCATATATTTTGCAACACCAGTTGGTAGTTACTTCTCTCTTTGCTGTTTTTAAGGTCAACTCTGGTTCAACTCTGTAGTCTGAGTATGAAATTGGAATTTTAAATTCAATTCACTTCTATGCTCGGTGAGCCAATAGATCTCCAATTATTGAAAAATCGCCACTCATATAGTTTCTCTTCTCTAGACTCCGTAGCCACGGAAAGATAATAGATGGTGCGGCTACTTCCTGTCAACTTTCAACAAAATATTGAAGTTAGATCCCAGGAAGTACCCGGGAGTTGGTAACATTTTGCATGCTATGTTATTCGTTATGGTATTCCTGCTAAGAAATACAGAGTGATGCTTTTTTCAAGATATATGACACAGATTATTGGTGATTGCCGCATAGGTGCAACTAACTTCTGTAATCTTCGCAAAACTAAGGCATTTTACATACTAAAGTATTGTTAAATGTCATCTGGTAGGACCCAGGAACAGCAACTGATTGCCCAAATGCAAGCTGTGTCCTTGAACAACTAGAGTCAGGATATAGATTCATTGCTGATCACTAAACTATCTCCACCAGTTTTCTTTTATCAGTTTCTATTTCTAGAAATGCCATTGGTTCATGGTTAAAATCAGTCCAATAACCTTGAAGTTGTGTTAGTTCGAATCTGAAGGCAACCACTTTGTACAAATAATGCCAAAGATCTTCACTCTTCACCCAATCTACCCATCCCAAACCCCATTCATGGGGACTAAACTGGGTGTTATTCTTATGTGTCCTAAACATGTCTTACCATAAAAGATTTCCTGTCAGTTTTCCACCTTATTTCAAGACTTAAATCATCTCGTTTCGTGTAACTACACCATCTCAGGAAAACTCTATGAATAACAAGAATATTCATATTGTTATACTTGCAAATAGTTGCTTAAAATTACTAGCAAATTGCTTACAGTTACCAGATAATTATTATACTGATTGTTATGCATATGACATCTGTGTACTATTTGTCAAAATTTTGCAATAACAGAACTAGCTCAGGTAAAGCAGATTGAAGACCAGAAAATTATAAAACACAATCCATACCTGTTGAATCCAAGATAAACAGATATCAGATAAGTTTTGCTCCAGTAAAAACTGTGCAACAGCATGCAAAACCTCACTTGCTACCTCGGTTGAGAGTTGGTCAATTACAGGGCCAGATCTGTCCATTAACTTCACTAGCAAGAGGTCATCCCTAGCAGACAAAACTTCTGCAAAAGCCAAATCAATATCACCCACATGAAGTGCATCAATGGCATTACTCCAAGATGTCCAAACTGGATCACGCTCTCGCACAATATTGTCATCCCTTAATGATTCAGCAGTCAACTCTGGTATATGAACTCTTGCACTTCGAGCAGTTCCATTGTCTTCACCAGCTACTCGAATTGCTTCCAAGGTTGCCTCATCCTTCGAAGCTTGCCAGACACTTCTTGCAGAAGGGCCCTCCCCAAATCTAACAGGTCCAGCTCCTTTATCCCAAGCTCTCCTGCTGCCAACCTGATCATTTTCATGTTCTGATTTGGGTGACCTACTGCCTATGGAACCACCACCTAGAGCTCTCCTAGAGCTCATTTGGCCATTTTTTCCAAAGGAGTGCAAGTCCCAAACTTCAGGCGCCTCAGATCTCCATGGAGGGCCCCTACCCCTCATGCCTGAAACAATACCGTTGGACGGTACAAGCCTCTCACTGAAGGAAACTCGCCCATCACCACCCCTCCCCAACTTGGCACTAGAGTAGTCAGGGAAGCCATTGTATTTGCTCAGGGACCTATTTGAAGATCCCTGGAACCCCAACATAAAATGACCACCTCTTCTACTGGCTGACATTGACAAATCCCGTGCCATATCTTCAACAACTCTCTCGAGACCCCATACTCTGTTCTCTAGAGTCACCATGCTATCATGAGACCCACCCATGAAATCCTGCATTGTAAGGAAATTGTTAAGGAGAAAACAGAGATAGGAACCATTTTTTCATGTAAATTAACTTAGCAGACCTGCAACATGTTCATTAGATGAGCTTGTTGCCTCTCCAGTTGTAATAACTGCCTCTGGATAGCCAACCAATTTGCTCTGTTATTGACAAAACCCTCAGACTGACCGTCAGTTTTGGAAAACCCCACATGAATACTGGATGACTCTCTTTGATTTACTTCACTCCTATCATCAATATCTCGTTGTCTAGAAAATGCACCAGCAGTCCCCCTTTCAATATTCCGGTATTTAAAGTTAGCAGATTGGTCGTCTGGCTGGCAGGGACCCTTTAACCTTGCACTTGAATCAGTATCATTTGCCTCAGTGTCTTCCTCATTGTGTGATTGTGAAGAGTTTAGACATCTGCGTGGGACCACCACTTCTACAGGCAAATCACCTGAACCCCTTGTTTCAAGATTCTGGAAGAACTCTGGGTTCAATTCTTTGTCAGTCAATGCTGGGGCCTTCTTCTTTAATATCCCAGCTGCTTTATCTGAAATGTTGGTACCCCTCGCTTTGGGAACACTAGAAGGGGACAGTCCATCGGATGAATCCTTCGCTGATGTCTCAGTTCTTCTCTCACCAAGATTTGGAAGGTCCTTCTCTGACAACTCAGCATATTCAGAATTTTCCCCATCCTGGTCATCCGCAGCTCCATCTCCTTTTCCTGCAATCTTCTTCCATAGCTGCAACGCCTCTGTCACACTATCTCTGACAGGTTTTATCTGAAACATGAATCAATCGTTCAATTCTATTAATATCTTGAATAAAGGTTTATTTAGGAGTGTCTGACTCATAATACAGTAAGGAACATACACTTACTGTACACCTATTGGTCAAGTATTCGCATACATTTTTGTCAAATGGTAAAATTAAGTAGAACTCAAGGTGTCATTAACACCTTTTGGTACCCTCCTCCCCAACGCCCAAAAAAAAGGGTGGAGCCACTTTCAATGGAATAATCTCATGGCAACACATGTTCATTAGATCTTCCACAGAAGGGAAAGTCAGTAGGCATATAGAGCCTTCAAGAAAAGGGGTGTATAAGTTATGTGACTCGTGTTCAAGGAGCTCTTTTCTGTCCACTCCAGCTTTGCAGGTAACAACAAGGTGTGTTTGGGAATTGGAATTCAAACCACTGATCTTGTGGGTCAGTCCATAAGCTAGGACAGAGGAAGAATTTCTTTCCTTTTCTTTCACGTGTGAATTTTTTGTTTTTGGGTGAGGTTTCCCGCCATGACCACCCTTCACTCAGTAAAAGGAAGAGCATTATCTTATGTTAAGTATCAAATTTTTGCACCCATGCCTGTAATGGAATTGAATACTTAAAAGGTCATTTTAACTTTAACAGTCCCATTAGTATACTCATGGTTTTGCTAATCAAAAAACTATAACGCAAATCAATGGCTTCAGAATAAATACACTAATCAAATTCAGACATAAAGAAATAGAAAAGTACTATTTGGAAAAAAAAGAGAGGGTAAATTACATCCACCTCTCTCGAGGTTTGCCCATATAACAACCAGACCCCCTCAGGTTAGACATATAACACTGCCCTCCCCTCTGTTTCAGTTGTTCCTCTCAGATTCCCCCATAACATCTTCACTCCCTCAATGTGAGTGAATAGTTTGCTTATGCAAGCAAATTATTCTTTCAAAATTCCCAAAATAGCCTTGATGGGGCTCAGTTGGAAGTGGACAACGGCTATTTTGTCTAACGACAAGTTTGCACAAATAATTGCTATATAAACACCACTTGTGTGTGAAATTGTGTTATTAGTAGCTAGGCCTATCAACGGATCGGATTTAGATCGGAGTCTAACTGATCCGAATCCGAATTATATCCAATAATCCGACGAATTTTATTTGTGTGGTCCATATTTGAATCCGTTAACAATCCGAAAATCTGATCAAGTCCGAATAACTTAATTAACTAATTTTTAACAAATTATACATAAATTTCAACTAATTTTTTTTAAATAATCACTTAAATTTTTTAATACTTATAAAAAAATATATATATAAATAATTTGGATCGGATCATAATCAGATTGGATATATGTATATCCAAATTCAAATTCTTTAAATATAATATATCGAATTCAGATTTGGGTTCGGATTAACTGTAAAAAAATATTAATTTACATCCAACTAATCGAATTCGGATCAAAATCCAATCTATCGATAGGCTTACCAGTAGCCAAGAGAATAGGGAGAGGGAAATTTTTTTTTTTTTNATAAATAATTTGGATCGAATCATAATCGGATTGGATATATGTATATCCAAATTCAAATTCTTTAAATATAATATATCGAATTCAAATTTGGGTTTGGATTAACTGTAAAAAAATATTAATTTACATCCAACTAATCGAATTCGGATCAAAATCCAATCCATCGATAGGCTTACCAGTAGCCAAGAGAATAGGGAGAGGGAAATTTTTTTTTTTTTTTTGTTATTATTGTTGTGTTTGTAGCATTCTTGTTCATCAATTGAATTATATAAGAGGACAAAAAATATCTGAACATCAGTATATATATATATATATATATGAACAATAAAGTTGTTGCTCACATGGCAAAAAGGAAACAAATTGATTCCTCATGAGCAATTAATCATAAACCCCCTTACCCATGTACCCCATTATGTGGTCATACATTCAGCAGGGTAATTGGTCATGTCTTATAGGATATGCCGATATGGTGTTTGGTGCCAATGTATATATATCACCATCAAGGGCATTCTCGTCTTTGTAAATTNATACCCCCTTACCCATGTACCCCATTATGTGGTCATACATTCAGCAGGGTAATTGGTCATGTCTTATAGGATATGATGATATGGTGTTTGGTGCCAATGTATATATATCACCATCAAGGGCATTCTCGTCTTTGTAAATTTACCATCCACTTAAAGTCTTACGCAGACGGTCGTCGGTCAGAGGGGAGGGCAATGTTATATGTCTAACCTGAGGGGGTCTGGTTGTTATATGGACAAACCTCGAGGGAGGTAGATGTAATTTACCAAAAAAAAAAAAAAACAAGGTACATTGTGGGACTGCCATGTAATTTCAAAAAGAATCGCAGATATGTAAATACAAAGCCGCAGGATCATCAGAAATTTCCACTCAATCCCCCAAACCAGGTATTGGAGAATCTGATAAGCCCCGGACACAAGAGGTTAGATTTTGCTGCCTATGGTTTTAATGGGCTTGATCATGTATCCTTAGTTCTCTCTTCGGAATTGTACTTGCTTACCTATGTCAGATAAGTCAAGAACACAATTCTCCACAGAAAACAATCAACTTAAATTCATCAAACTAATAGAGATTGTATCATTCCTAAGTCTCTTATCAAAACCAAATTTGCTCCCCAATTTGGTACATCAGATGCAAGTTATTATTCACTTCTATAGTCCAAAACGGATATTCACACAAAGAAAAGTGGATTATGTATTGATGTCAAAATGAGGAACTGCTATATATCTTTTACCTAGCGTTATCCTAGGAATGCATACCTTTGGCTCATACCTAAGATTGGAGTTTAGACAATCCTACAAATACATGACTATGAATACAAGTATTAAGGAATGTCACATAGGGTAAATTTAAATATATATATATATATGTACAACAAAAAATCAGAATAAGAGTAATCAATATTATTTTACAAGTTATACCACCACATAGTCCCACTGGAAAAAAAAAATGTAACAAGGCAAAGAGCACAAGTGCTCGTTGACCTCATGACTTGCAAAACAAGATAGAACAACTATTGGGCAGGGATTAGGCACAAGTACTCGTGCCAAGTATAGACAATGGGGAAAAGGAGTTTTAATTGGTAAAAACGTCCTGATCAAGTACCTTGTCAAATCGACAAGCCTCAAGCACCGACAGTGTCGAAGAAGCTCTGGCCATGATCAAGTTGCTTGAATGCAATGCCAAGGCACTAGTTGCATCAGCGGCCGCCTTACGTGTTGCCCAATCTGAACTTCCAAGGCACTCATGAATGCTTTGCAGCAGTGGTTCCAAGCTTGGTGGTGCAATAGCTCCTACCTGCAACAACGTTATAAGAAGATTTAAATTGGCTCCATTATATGCAAAAAAAGTTTCAGTATCTCATGACGGAAATATAGAACAGCCAGACAAAGTCATTCACTTTACCAGATAGTCAAAAACTGTTATCAAGGATTTCAAAATAATGCATAAAGTGCACACACGACATCTCAAGATTGAAATGCTCTAAAACAGTTATCAATATGGAATCAAGTTCAAAATATACCATAATCAAGTTGCAAGGAATGTTTTCCACAAATCACCTGCAAATGAAATTATGAAGTTTTAAACTCCAATAACATGACAGACTGTCATTTGATAGATGAAGAAAAGTTAGGAAATGGCTGAGTTGCTAATTTAAAAATTGCCCTTTCTATACTCCTCCTACATTTCTCAGCAAGGAGACTCCATTCAATATAGACTGTCATTCCCACAGCAGTAAAAGAGAGCACACATTTCATTAGAATATCAGATATTACAAAATTGAGTCAAGATTCCAAATACATTTTTCTTACTGTTCTTCAATTAGCTAACAAAACGGAAAAATTGAACTAGATGATCAAGTTTAAGACCATTTATGTTAAAAACCAAGAATTTACATATGAATTTCATCAAGTATGATTTTGACTACATGATCATGGTTTAACACCATATAAAAAAGGATCTCTCTCACCAATCAAAAAGATCATAACTTTGAACTAGATGATCAAAACTATCTAGAGCCAGTAAAATAACACAGAGACCCAATTAATACTTAATACGCACACCACACAGAACATCTACATTGGACAAACCTGAGATAGACTTGCAACAACAGTAAAAAGCGCAGCTTTTGCTAAGAAGTTGGGATTATTAAGGTACTTGGAAATTCTAGGACACAGCTTCTGAAACGGGGCGATAGGCGGGTCGGAAGCACATTCCACCATCTTAGACATACACATTGCAGCCCCACCTTGTACATTCTTGTTATTCTCATTCATTGCCTCAAACAATGGCTTCACAAATAGAGATACCATCGACCCAAGTCCCACATTGTCACCCTCACCCTTCAAATACTGCGAGGACAACGCCCCAATTGCGTCACGGCACGCGTCTCTAACCCCAGAATCCGAATCTTTGAGCCTCTTCACAATGTGGGCAATGATTTTTGTCAAATGGGTGGTGCTAGGATCAGTATGGGTAGCACATAGAACGGTCAACAGGCGTAAGGACTCCTTTTTGACAATGGGTTTGGGGTCATTGGTGGCATCGTAGAGGCAATTGAGGAACATCGAAATGCCATCGTTTGAGAGGGTTTGAATGATCTTCTCGAGGTCTTCGACAGCGATCTGGTGGGTATCTCTGTCTGAGAGTTTGGAGAGAGAGGTGAGTATTCTCTGTTTGAGCTCAACCATGGCCAAGTGGGAGGAGAGAGAAGATGGTGCTCTTGAAGGTGGTGTTGGTGTATTCGAGGATTGATTTGTAGGTTTTGAAGGTTTTGAGGATTTGGGTCCTTGTGAACTCATTGTGGGTCTTGTTGAAACGGGCTCAAATGGAGTTTCAATGAAGGGAAAAGTTTCAAGAATCAGAGATACAGAGACAAGGAGAGCGTAATGCGAGTACTAAATACTGCGTCTTTGTGAGCTCGTCGAGAAAATTGAGAGAGAGAGAGAGAGAGAGAGAGAGAGAGAGAGAGAGAGAGAGAGGTGGGAGAGTTGAGGTTACCCACCAAGAAAGCAAAATCAAAGCTGTTTGGAAAGGAAAATGGGAACTGTGAGTGTTAACAAAAGAGCAGATCTACTATGTTTTTTAGAGCTACACAAATCATGGCTTCTATTTTAATCTGAGCTTCCGAATAGTCTCACCCCACTAGTGAGAGAGAGGGCACATGGAATATTTCAAATCTAATGATTTAAAAATCAACAATGTTTTTTATCTTAATATAATTTATTGATTTAATTTATTATAATCTTTCAAACAGTAAAATTTTGCATTAATCTAATGGTGACAATGAAATCAAATTATTATGTCAATAAATTAAATCAAATTTTTAAATTCCAATAGCATAATTTTTTACAAATAGTTTGACCTCTCGAAGTAGTCGGGTCCATTGTGCATGTATCTCTAAGAGAATCTCTAACTTTGAACTNTACAAATAGTTTGACCTCGTGAAGTAGTCGGGTCCATTGTGCATGTATCTCTAAGAGAATCTCTAACTTTGAACTCAAATATGATTTAATATTTGAGTAAAAAAACTTAATTTGAAACAAAATACTCCAATAAAGAAATTCAAATTTAAAGAATGACAAATTTAAATTTAAATGAGAACAAACTAAAATATAAACGAGGATAGAATATGACAATTAGATCCTTAAAGGAGAATGAAATCTAACCATTAGAGATTTGGGTAAATGTTTTAGTCTTCTTTGATTTGGGTAAAAATTCGAGTCTCCCTTAATTTGATATAAATTTGAGTATATAATTCTAAGATTTTTTCAACCAAATTTAAATTTAGATTTAAAAAATGATAAGAGTTAGAGATACTCAAGACTATCTCGAATGAAAACCCAAATTTGAGTAAAAAAATGATAAAAAGTTTGTTTTAGTAAAATATGATCGTTAGATCATTAAAGATGAGTAAGCCTATCATTGAACTAGTTAAGATTTAATGATTATATCCTACCATTTATCATGTTTGAATAACACATAAGCACTTTTGTGAGATCCATGGAGAATGGTAATGGAATATCGTACCATTTACTATTTTGTCTCTAACCTATCTAATTTAACATCATATTTGGTTTATAAATTAACTTTTTATAAATTCCAAAAAAAAATTGCTTACATGTAATTTTTAAAGGCGTTGTAATTTCATATCTTGTAGATGAGTGTTTATATGTTATGAGGAATGTTGGCAATTAACTCAAACTCTGATTAACTCATTATTTTATTATTACTTGTTAATTAATCTTAGTCCAAATAGGATATTACTTTATTAGACTTAATTTATTATTTAAATTGGTTGTCTTGTTAGAAAAGACATCTTGGTCTTCTTGAGGTATGTCGGCAAAGCCTTACTTTGACAAAACCTATTTGTTGGAAAAAAAAAATATATTTGTGAAAAAATAGTAGGAGATGAAGCAAACGAGAGAGGGGGAGAAGAGAATATGACTATTCGGTCATTTGAATTAGTTATCCAATCCGACAAAAAAAAAATGCCAACTCCCCTTGAGTTTCATTTAACCCATGTAGATGAATTAAAATTGACTTTTTAAATCGAGTTGAGATAAAATTCAAATGAGTTTTTTAATTCATTTTTTACTTATCAAACATTGGATATATAAGTCTCACATACTTGTTTACTCTATCCTATTAGAGTAATCCCTTTTAACCCGCGATCCAAACATACCCTATATTTTTAAATATCTAAATATTAGATTAATCTAATATTCAAATATCGAAATATTATATTAATCTAATATTCAAATATCTAGATATTTGATATCTAAACACCAAATGTTTGAGACTTTTAATATTCCTTTGATGGTATCTATTGTTTGAATTTTGAAAATTCAAACAAAATTATTATTCTATTATCATCTCTCAATCTCCTCCCCCCAATTCTCTCTCGCTCTTTCTCCCACTTTTTTCTCTTTCAAACTTGTTCTCTCTCCCCTATGGATGGATTCAAGGCATTCTTACTTTATCTCTTCTTCCTATTTTCTCTTTATTGAAGAAATATGAAAAGATGAATTCAAACGAAATTAATATTCCATTATCATTTTTCACTCTTTCTCCCTCATTTTCTTTTTGAAACTTGCTCTCTCTCCCCTATGTACTTAAGGTACCATTACTCTCTCTGCCTTCTTCTTCTTTTTTTTTTTCTCTCTCTCTCTTTTTTTCCTCTCGCTCTTTCTCCTATTTCTCTCTATTAAAGAAGTACAAAAATGTAGCATTGGGGGTGCATTTCCTGATCTTAACAGCACCTAATCAAGGGAATATCATTCCAATGGAGAATAAGAAGAGTCGAATGGTTGAGTTGACTACTTCGAGTGGTGGAGCTCTCGCTTTGGTGGTGTTATTGAATAAGGCTCTATTTCCATTGAGGATTCGATTACGCTCGCACTTAGGCCTCCAATCGTGAGATTCTAAGCAAGACGCCACATTATCAAGAATAGTGTATACTTCTCATTCCATTATCATCTCAAGTTCTATTTTTTGTCATCTTTTTTTTCTTTTCAAGATTTGGGGTTGTTTATCTTTCTCTCTTTTTTTCATTTGTCACTATTTTTTTTATTATATCACTATTTTTTTTTGCATCGTGTCAGTAATTTTTCCTCCGTCACTTTTTTTTTAGTGTAAATTAATATTATGATGCAATTGCATTCTTTATATAGAGAGAGAGCAAGAAAAAGAAAGAATCCTAATTTGAAAAAAATTAAATTTAAACTCTTTAATTGTAAATTTATTTCAAATTATGATTCTCTCTCTCTCTCTCTCTCTATATATATATATATATATATATCTATATATCACGTATTTAAACTCAAATATGATATATAGAGATAGAAAGAGTTCTAATATTATAAAACTCTTAAATTTAGAAATTTTAGGGTACGTTTGGTTTGCATTTCAAAAAATAGTATCCGAAAACAGTTTTTGAGAAGAGTTTTAAGAAAGTGGTTTTGATATTTTTTGAGATAAAAAATTTGTTTGGTTAGATGATTTCAAAAACAATTTTACAATACAGAAAATAGTAAAACCTGTTTGGACAGCCTAAATATATATTTGAACAGTAATTCAACCATTAATAAAAAAAAATATTTTTAGATTGAAANAAATATATATTTGAACAGTAATTCAACCATTAATAAAAAAAAATATTTTTAGATTGAAAATTTCATAAAAAAAATTCAATGAATTAAACTTTAAAAAATATATATATATATATATACATATATATATATTTATTTATATATACACATATATATATACACACACACACACACACAATATATATATACTAGTCATAACCAGTGCCTGAAGGCACGATTAAATATAAATTTGAGAGTCTAAAAAATTGATCTCATTATATTAATTTTTTTTAAAATATATTAACTACAAATTAATCAAATATTAAATGATTAAATATATGATATAAATAAGTGATGCGATTTGACATTTGAGTCTGACAAAGAGATGATAGGTGAGATAAGTAATTGGTGATGGTTTTGAGGAAGAAAATATGACTGAAATAAAATTCAAACACACTCTTGTTTTATTATATAGATATATATATATACACACACAGAGTATATATTTATATATATATACCCATATATATATAAGTATATATATATTGTTCTCCTTATTTTCAAAATTTTCAAAAAAAATTCTGAAAATAAGTTACACTTATTTTCTGTTTCTTTGACTCAAATCTCATTTTTTTTTTCTAAAATTTAGAGAACAAAAATTCTAAACAAATAGGTTTTAGGTATTTTTAAAATTTTGAGAACAAAAAACTGTTTTCGAAATGATAACCAAACATGACCTTAGTTTCCAAATGTGTTTTAATTATAAGTAAAGTTTTCTATTTGGTTTTTGAGAGCATTTATTTTGTTATTAAGGGTATATTAGACATTTGATTCTCAAATGGACTTTTAGCCAAAAATGTTTTCCTACTTGAACTTTTAGCCTAAAAATGTTAAAAAGGTATACGCACTCCCAAAGAATCCATAAAAAATTCTTAAGAGCAATACAGTAGTTAAGTTTGACATCCTCTAATTCAAATATATCAGGTTCAACACTTTTCATACTTTTTAAAAGTTAGTCACCCTTATTCATCAAATGACTTGTTCAAAACTTCATCGGGCTATATTGATCAGTATCCAAGTTCAAATGAATAATCGGCACAAACTTGAATCTCCTATAAAAAAGAAAAATTGCCATTTTTTTCTCAATTTTTTTGTGCATAGGTCAGGCTGTGACATGCATGATGAGTTGCCTTGGGACCTTAATCATCATATCACTCCATTGGATCTAATGGGCCAAAAATGACAACCCACTATCTTACCCATCGGACTATTAAACTACCCGGAGCCCACCACAAGATGAACCAGGTCGATCCATGGCCCCACATTTTTTGACGAGGCTTAACGAATAATTGTGGGTGAATAGTTGTGTGTGTTTGGGGTGACCATTTGATTGTGTGGGTGGGTGAATATCGATTTGTTACTATTTTTACGTCACTGTGTATTTATTATTGCCATTTTTTGTATTTTGATGCAATTGCATTTTTGATATCGATTCATTGTGTATTTTTTTTTCTAGTTAAAAAAAGGGGTGGGGGCAAAGAAGAGTGCTCAGCGACCACCTTGATAGGCTCTCACTGGTGGGATCATAAAACTCCTGACCGTTGCTTAGAACACCTCTCGGGACCAGACCTAGCTAAGCTAGTATAGTGGCCAACCACCAAGCCCCAATGCAGACTGCAAGACTTGAACTCTCAATTTCAAGGTGAGGAGTA